AATGCATACTTGAAACACGTTAGCAATGCTTTGAAATTTGGAGAATCGCGACCTCTTAGAACAGTTTAATCCAATACCGCGTCGATATTTCCCTACGGGAAGCCACTGACCTGGCCACCTCCACTAAGGCGGTGTGTCCTGCTTGGTTAACAATTTCTGTGTCGGCGCCTTGACCGAGCAGAAGCCGGACCACCTCCAGATGGCCATGTTGCGCTGCCAACAGCAGCGGCGAGATCGGACTCCCGGCGGCTCTGTCGGCTGCGATCAGGAGTCAGGGTCAGTTCAAAGATCAGGTCAGGACCACGGTTACGTGTGACATCGAGGACATCCTCTGCCCTACAGGTCAGGCTAGGGTCACGGTCACGGGGATTGGGGGTGAGAGGTCAGGTCATACGTCGGGGTCACTGGTCGGAGGTCGAGTCCCGTGCCAGGGTCATCCTCTACCCTACGGGTTAGACTAGGGCCAAGAGCTCAGGGTCAGTAGTAAGAGATCAGATCACAGGTCGGAGGCCATTGGTCCAAGGGGTCGGGTCCAGTCATGAGGGTTAGGTGCAGATGATCACGTGTGAGCGGACGGCGATTAAATACCAGGTACCGAAAGACAGAATCCCGTTTCACCGAACAGCCAAGAATCTGCATGGTGAATAACACTACTCTTAAGTAGAAAGTACCATCGGCAACCATCATTTTTCCATGCATCGCCACATTGTAATAAACTACTGAAAACTGATGTTAATGATGTTAAGTGCCGTCCAAATATAACTTTTGCCACACATTTCAGTTCTAACCGAAGGGTGGAAATGTGATGATTTAAGATGATTTGGGCCTTAGGGTACGTCCGTCTGCCGTGGTCAACGTGGTGCTCATAACTTACATCTTATTTAACAGATGATTATGAACAGTAAGGAGGCAATGTTAAGTTAGGTATATTACAGGACATGAACGTCTTCAAGAAGATGGAAAATATTGCCGTCCTTAATCCTTTCGAGTCATCTATCACAGATGTCATAGGCGTCTGGCGCACGGATCCTGGTCCCCAAATGGCGGCATGCGTTCCAACGTGAGGTGGGCACCATCCATCAAGACCCGCCCGTACGGTGCGCCGCTCCCCCTCCCCCTCCCCCCCCCCCCCCCCCCCCCCCCCACCCCGCCCAAAGAGGACATGGCGGTCGGTCTCCCCACATAGCAGGTGTCGCTGAGTAACTCGGCGGCGGCACCATAGCATTTCATAGTACCAGACTCTAGACCACATATTAGACGATATAAGTTCATAAACTGAAGAGAGAGCCTGGAGAGTCAAACTATCTTAAAACCGACAGATATGAGACTTTGTGGGCTAAGTTCAGCCCAACTCGTAGTTGCCATATCAGCTGCATACGTTGGCAATCATCGGCGCATCCCCGCCACCCGCGGACCCACCGTCTTCGGTGATGGGCCTGCCCAGCAGTGTGTGGTCCGCACCTGAGCACCGCTGCTGATGAGCAGCCGCACCACCTCCAGGGTGGCAGCCATCGCAGGCCACCATCAGCGGTGTGTTACTTCTGGAGGTTCTGGTTGCTCCATGTGCGCGCCCGCCATCAGCAGGAGGCGCACTATCTCTGCGCTGCACCGCTCACAGGCTGCCGTTAGTGCCGAGTTTCTGCGGGGAGGAGGACGGTGTAACCAGTCTGTGAAACCTTTCGGACTGTTCCGGAGTGGCCTGTTGGAAAGTCACTTGTATATTCGGGCGTGGCAGCACTATGCTCTTTATCAAACAATTTAGCTCTCAAGACGAAAACGGATTGAAAGGATGATAAGTCTCGGCGATCTACGCCGTAACAATTAAGCCTAATGACAATTTATCTAATGCCGTAGCAATCCAGGAGATGAACACCATCCCCGCTAACACTAGTTATGCCATAAGCTCGACGGCGCATGGGATTTCGACAATTTGCATGTCAAGCACAAAATCTTACAAACCTCGAAAATCTACAGCTCAGACAGACTATCTGTTTTGTTTCAAGCCAAGATCAAGTCATGTCACCAACGATACGGAGCTGTGTCCATCTGCTTCATCGCATCTTACTCCATGTCACAAAGGACGTACCTGTTTCCAACGGGAGGTAGCGTTCACTTGAGCGCCGTGCTCCAGCAAATGCTGAAACAAGAACACAATTGCGGTCAGTCTGCAAGCCAGTACGTGCAAATACACAAGCCCGAGGCCTGACTGGGCGAACGGTACCGGCCGCTGTAACTACAGCATTCTCGGCTGTGCGACGCAAGGGAGGCTCGGGAGGCAAGGGAGTCGAATGCCTTGCTCTGAAACAGGGGTGGCAAATAAATGTCGGCAACAACACACCCCATTCATAAAAACTTGAGTGCCTCACAACACAACCTGGGAACTCTGCTGCCGGGACGGGGGCCCTGACGTGGGGGCAGGAGGCCTGACGTGACAGCGGGCTGCTGCCAGCTGGGACGGGGGTCTGATGTGACAGAAGGCTGCCCCTGTTGCCGGCTGTTCACGGACAGACCGGAGGCCGAGGGTGTCCGTACCTGGACGATCTCCGTGTGCCCGAGAGTTGCAGCCGTAATCAGTGCTGTCTCGCAGCCGGGGCCGCATTCGTCTTCCAAACGGGCACCAGCCTCGACCAGGGTCCGGACCACGTGCACGTGGCCTCCCATGATGGCGTACGTCAGGGCCTGGTACACTGCGGCCAGAGCACATGAGTCGGTCAAGCTGGGTAAGACGTCAGCAAAAAGTACAGCTAAGGTGTATGCAAAGATTTAAAAGCTTTAAATGAGCATAAATACTCTTTCAGAAGTGTAGCACGCCTGCTCCATGGACAAAAATACATATTTTGGGCGATGCGTAACTAAACAAGGTTAGAAGGCTCATCCTAACTCAAGCACGTCACGAATCAAGAAAGTGTAGGATGTTGCCAAAGCTTCATGCATACCGATTCCGGCGGACGTGCATAGATTAACACACAACAGTCAGACGAAACTGTTAATGAATACACAAAATTGTTTGCCGAGGTATCCAGCCAGTGGCGTTTCATGTCCATGGCTGTTACTGGGAGCCAGTTCTGGCGGCAGCGCGTTATGCTGGGGGACCGTCTGCCAGCGGACGCGCTGTTTGCCCACCTCGGTTTGAGACTTTGGTTCGTGGAGGCCTCCTGTCTCCTGTCTAGTAGACAGGAGGCCTCCTGTCTAGTGTGCCGCTCGCGAGAAGAGGCTTGTGTAAAAACTTACAAGCGAGCAGGTCCGGTCACCCCGCACACAAAATGCCTGATGAGCCAACGTAAAAGTGTGATACATTCTCATGTTCAAAGACAGTAAAGTTCCCAATCAGTCTTGGCGTTGGTCAATCATGATGCTCAGTATTTTAAGGCTGTAGATTACTTAAGTAATAATAATGGTGGGGTAATGTTTCACCAACTGTGTTATTTGGAGACGGCATGCCTTTACTAGGCTGCATATGGGATGCGATAGTTGTATCGCAGAAAACTGAACTCAGGACCGACACGCCCAGAGCCGAGCGTCCTAACCATTATACCACATCCCCACTCTCCACAGATTACTTTGCCAAACTGTAAATCATGTCTGGACTTCTGGAAGCTGTTATGGGTATTGTCCATTGAACAAAATGCTATGTAATAAAGAATCGAGAGGATCAAAACTTGCACATAGAAGAAAGAAGGTGCCATATTAATTATAAAGTCAAATTCAAGGGGAAAGGCATTAGGCTCACCTTTTCATGTGTATTAATATCGTGCTCGCGCACTCGGATGAATATCAGCAATGCAACAATCGGAGTAGACCCGTCGCAATAAAGAGATTGTGAACATGCGCTCTTGTTGTAAGCCATCTAGGAATTCAGGGCGCCCGCGGTACGACAACTTTCTGTGAAAACAACGTCATCTATTCTACCGATTACAAAATTCTGCATTTGCCCTGACAGATTTTAATATATGATACACCTGACAAAAGCAGATTGTGATGACGTACTGTGATGACATTCATATGGTAGCTTCAGGAGATTCAACCAGGTGTGTCACTTTTTGTAAAATGTCCGGGGGGGGGGGCGAACCGAAGGCCTGACAACCTACCCTCCCTCCCCCATTTTTGCCTCACCGGATTTAGCCCACTTTGTTTTGCTTAAACGCAGAATATGCTTTTAATCTTTGTATAATTTAAAGATGTCTTTAATTTAAGCAGTCCAGTAATCAAGTAGGGCTGGATCCAGGGAGCAGGCACTGGATGCGCGCGTTTCTTCTGATCGCCACATGAAGGCGCCCCTTTAAGCGTCGATGGCGCTTTTCTATGGCGGTCATAGGAGGCGGCACGCCTTTCGGTTGTGGGGGACGGGGATGGGGTTGGCCATGAAGGACCAATGTCATCCCTGTATTCCGGAGCTTTATATTTTAACCTGGTAAACCATTGAATGTCTCATGGTGCCAGGCATGTGAAGTTTACCGCATTATCTATCCGCTCAGCTGTCACGATTTTTTTCTTGCGGTGAGAGCAGCCATGATTTTTCTTTGTGAGAGTGGCTCGAGATGCCACTACGCGAAAGATCAAAGCAGATAGCCTTCGAGTTATGATCATCTTTTACCCACGGTTTTTGTAGTATTCCAGCCCAAAAAAAATGCGGGGCCAACTCAACATTGGTGGGGGGGGGGGGGGCAGAGCCATCACAAAAGAATACAAATCGACACCCGTAGATACAGCAATCCAAAACTAGTCACACATCACAAGCATGCCAACACCCACGACGTTTCCTTGCAGCGCACCACCCGTGCGACTGACCTGTGTGCTCGTTTCCCGCGTGGAAGAGGGCCTCCACATTGACATCGATACCCTCCTGCAGCAGTTGGACAACTTCGAAGTGCCAGCCGTGGAGGGCGGCGCCCATCAGCTCGCTGTTCATCATCTCCGCCGTCCTCCCCACGATCTCCGGCGCGTCTGTATCTGACATCGTGCGCACGCTTGGCCGCCCCTCCGGACCGCAAGAGGTCTGTTGAGGGGAAAGGAAATCCAGTTAAACGGCTGGGTAGCAAAGCGCCGGATTGCCGGTAGCTGTGTAAGGGCACGCAATGACAGAGTCGGTTCAAATATCACACAATTGTTCAATAAGTAGAGGCTGTCCATAACCAGCAGTCAGCATTTTTGGCCGTTTTTCAACACCACAACCCGGTACTTGGGCACTGGCTACGATGGGAGAAGCCCCTTCCCCTGGTTAAGCGTTGCAAGACGTAACGATCCACAAGGTAACAAAACTCCGTTTGGCACTTAATTGACCAAGAAATTTCAAACAAAAATGGTCATGCCGTTTGCCGCAAAAGTATTCGTTGCCAGGCGATGTCTGACGACGTTTGAAAATATCTGTTACATGTTTTAACATGCTTTGCAGCCACACCTGAGAGTGGTGTTACGCTTTTGAAAACCTCTCCACCTTGCTACACAGTAGTTACGCGCAGTCAAAACCCACCCCAAGTGTGGCATGATGTACGGGCGGCCGCATATGTGCGTTCACATTCAACGGTGAAAAGCGCGTACATGCAGGGAAGCAGCATTCCTTCGATTCTCGACGGTCGCGGACTGAGCGACATAGTCCATCTGAGCAGCAGTTGCAGGCGAACGACCCCCTTCCCCGGCCCTGACCCCCACCATCCCGGTACAGTGCTGGACGCCGAGCGACGCTCAGCTGTCTCCCTGACCCTGCGGGGGTACCCCTCCAGGGACGGACGCGCGCCATTATCATGGTCGGCACGGACGGCTCGGTCGTCTGGCGCCCGTCACCTGCTGCTATTGACCGGGACACACGTCTGCCGGCTGGTCGGAGACTGGCGCAACCGCTGAGGCTCGGCACGTTACTCTATTATTGTCAGCCCTTTCCAGAACCGTTGGTCTTACAAAGGTGCTGGACCGATTAACGGGGTCATTCCATAGACACATTTAATAGTGACTGTGTGCTGAATACCAGTTAAATGCCAGGTGTTGCGATATGTAATCAAAGGCATGTTTTAATGTGTTTTTCGAAGAGTCAGTGACCAACTTTTGCAACTTGGCGACGAGTTCGCAGGCGTTCAGCAGTGTTATGAGTGCCCCAAGGCATTCAGGCGAGGAGAACATGTGGGGTTCAGTTAAGGTCACGGCAGCAAGTCGAAAGACCATGTCATAAATGCAGCATAACATTCTCAGATCAATCCCCAAAATATTTAAAGATAAATACAGTTTCAGTGCAACCGATGGGTCTACATTCTTGCCGGTGGCGGCTTCACTCACACCTCAACCCTGCCGGTGGCGCCCTTGCAGGCTGCATATTCCCCTGGTATCCGCCTCCCCCCCGCCAGCCTCAGAACCCTGCCAACGGCGCCCTCGCCGGCTCATCGGCCTCACAGCGCCACCGGTGGCGTCCTCGCCCCTACATAGCCCCGCCGGTGGCGCCCTCACCGACTTCACATCCCCGCCGGTGGCGCCCTCACGAACTCCACATCCCCGCCGGTTGCGCTCCTGCCAGCCCCACAGCC